CTTTCAGGTGGTACTTCACATAGTCGTAATCGGTTTCTAGGTTGCCCAGCTTTCATTCTCGCCATGATCTTAGCTTTCAGGTCAGTTGCTGCCTCGCTCAGCATTTCATTCATTGGGGCTGGCCTCCCGTTCTCATCATCTGCATTCATTGGGATTTGCCTCCCAATCTCTGGTAAGACCTCCTTCTCTGATCTGGCAGCCTGGGGTCCTTCACCGTGGACCCTGCGTTGTACCTCATCAATCTCAAGTTGTGACAGCAATTGCCGTTTGTGGATGTTGGAACACTGAGCTACTAGTTGTTTCGTGGTCAACCGTGACTGTGGGTTTCGAAGTAACCATTCAGCCCGCATTCTCTGCATGTAACCCCTCTGACTAGGGTTGCTTGAGTAGTAGCATTCCAACAGAGCCATGTTTTCGCATCTCGCCCATCTCCGCTTTGTTCCAGTAGCCCATTATATATATAGTTATAGTTATAATTCTGGATCCTTGTTGTCTTTTGATAAAAGCATGCCTCATACATGTTCATAAAACACCTGGGAGCCATTTTAAATTGTGCGGGAATATCATGATCTGTCTTGGGACTTTTGTTTTATAGTTGTACCTGTACTTACGAAATTAATTGGTTCTGGAAGAAATTTATTAACTCGAAAATTTTGTAAGTAGAGACGTGTTTTCCATGTAAATGCCCTAATGCGTTCCAAGCCCCCCTCAAAATTCAGACATAAATGTTTCTTAAAGCATAAAAATGCATCAAAATATGTAACAAATACATGTTATAATTAGATTATTGCACAATAAATGAGAGTTGTACATAATGTAAAAAACAAAGAAGAGAGTAACTAAAAATGATGGTCATTCAACTTTTAACTGTGTCATCATAATTTTTTGCCCTTTTTAGTCCATGTTCTCGCTCAGAAGTGGTATTGCCTGGTGTTTTGTGAAGAACTGATCCAAGGACGTTTGCTTTTGTCGGCTTTTAACAATCCTTCGAAAATGTACAAGTAAAACATCAGCATCGTGAAAGATCGCCCGACTGGTGTTGACTTTTTCTGGGTGATTCACATTTACGTAAAACTATGCAAACACCTCATGGCCCAAGGAGTGAATGACGAAGACGCTGCATCTACACTTATCTCTTTATCGACACACACAGAAACACATACGGTAGTGGTCCCTCTTAGCCAATGGGATGCCAGGCATCATGCAACTTGACACACATGATTTGCTTTGGCGGGCCACATAAAATGATGTAGCAGGCCGGATCTGGCCCCCGGGCCTTGAATTTGACACCGGTGGGTGAGCACATCTGCCTCACAGAACAGGTGTTGGGTTCAATTCCAGGCCCTGCCGTCCTGTGTGAGGTTTGCGTTTTCTCCAAGTCTTCTGGTTTTCTCCAACATTCCAAAAACATGCACTGTAAGTTTATTGATCACTTTAAAGTGGCCATAGATGTGATTGTGAATGGCTGTTTGTCTATGTGTGCCCTGTGATTGGCTGGGAACCAGTCCAGGGTGTACCCAGCCTATTACCCCAAGAAGGCTGGGATATGCTCCAGCATGACCCGAATACCAATCTGTAGGATCAAGTATCAATTATACTTCATCTGTCACCATTATTTGTCAGACCAATGATCAAGTATATGTCAATTCATAAAATACATCTTACTGTTGATAATACAGTGAAACTCCTCTACAACAAAATCATGTTTGCAGCAAGAAATTTTTCACAACAGGGGGTTTTTCACTCTAGCAAATTTGATCTCAGATGTAAACACATATACACACACACAAACACACACACACACACACAAACGTAATGTGTACACGCACACACAAATGTATGGAAAGAAATTGCAAAATTTATGATCAGCATTCCCTTTCACTTACATCAATTTCTTGGATAATGTGTTTTATTTTGCTTCCTCCGTCTTTCATTTTGATCACTTTTACCCTCTTCCAGCATCAGAGCTCTTCTTGTCTTAGCTGCTTGGCATCCAAAGGTTTGTTTTGTCGCCATTTTAGCAATGCAACATTCTTGCTGCGTCTGAAACTAACAATAAGAAATACTTCCTGGACTACTGCACATGTGTAAACCAGTGTGGTGGTTGCTGTTGCCATTTCCGAACGAAGAAGTAGAGGTCGCTGTTGGATTAGACTTCATTGAAGTGAATTTCGTCGCTCGGCAAGAGCAGACAAAAAGATTTCATATAACACAACACGGTTTTTTTTCGTTGTATGGGGGGCAAGAGAATGGGAATGGTGTCAATGCATGAAGATTTTTTCACACTCGGGTATATTTTCGCCCATGTAGGTTTCGTTGTAGAGGAGTTTCACTGTAGTAACACATTATTGTCAAAATGTTGATAATTTTATTTCTGGCACAGAGTCTGGGATTATTGATTTCCTGGACAAAATATCAGTTCCATTATTTATATTTACTGTAAGATAGATAACGCTTCTGCGGCACCTCAATCATACCTTAATTATCTAAAAATGCTCCTGCAAATGACCATTTCACAAAATTTGTTACACTTGACAGATCATTTGAAAATATTCAACGTCGACCAAAGCAACCGTATACAGTGAAACTCCTCTACAACGAAATCATGTTTGCAGCAAAAAAAAAATTCACAACAGGGGTTTTTCACTGTAGCAAATTTGATCTCAGATGTAAGCACACACACACACACACACGCACATATACAAACGCATCCTGAACTACTTCCAGAAAACACACACACACACAAACAAACATATGTGTACACGCACACACAAACGTATGTGTACTCTATTTTTATTCCAATAGTGCATAAGTATGAGCACACACTTATTTGACACTTCATATTGTCAGTGTAGAAAGAAAAAAAGGGAAAGAAACTGCGAAATTTACGATCAGCATTAAATTTTACTTTCATCAATTTCATGGATAATGTCTTTTATTTTGCTTGCTCTGTCTTTCATTTTGATAACTTTTACCCTCTCTCCCAGCATCAGAGCTCTTCTTGTCTTAGGTGCTTGACATCCAAAGGTCCGTTTTGTAGCCATTTTAGCAATGCAACGTCCATGCTCGTCTGAATCTAACAATAACAAATACTTCATGGACCCGGTGGCTTTTCTTTCCACCATCTCACTGTCTCTAACTCGACCTCCCCCCGATCGCCACCCAAGACAGCGTTGCTCAGCTGATGTCATGCAATTAACTTTTAAGCCAGCCACGGGACGCTTCGTAGTCCTCGATGGCCATAGTTTGCTCTCGAAGGCTAAAAACCTTACGCTAACTGGAGCGCTTCTCTCTCATTACAAACAAACAAACAAATCATTAGCGCTCCAGTTAGCGTAAGGTTTTTAGCATGATAACAAGTAAAGTCTTCGAGGAAACGTTCGTTTATTTGAATGCCCGTCGAGCCATAAGCAATTTACTCCGAGCAGCTAATCGGATGCATTCCACTCTATCTTCTATGGATCGATCTTCAGTATCTACACACATAGACAGTGAGGTCCCTCTTGGCCAATCGGAGGCCAGGATGATGCTCGGTAAGCCAATGGCAGAGCAGCTATGAGTATGTTGCGTTCAGGAAACTCGCAGCTGTGACCGAAATAAACATTGTTCACTATGTAAACCAGTGTGGTGGTTGCTGTTGCTGTTTCCGAATGAAGCAGTAGAGGTCGCTGTTGGATTAGACTTCGTTGTAGTGAATGTCTTCGCAAGGCTGGAGCAGAGAAAATGATTTCGTATAACGCAACAGGGTTTTTTTTCGTCGTATGGGGGGCAAGAGAATGGGAATGGTGTTCATGCATGAAGATTTTTTCACATTAGGGGGTATTTTCGCACATGTAGGTTTCGTTTCAGAGGAGTTTCACTGTAGTTTACCTGACTGTCTGTGGTCCGCCTGAGATGGTCAAGTAAAAATCAGATGCCTTTTATTGGCGGCGTGGGGTGGCGCTGTAGGACGCAACCATTTCTTCTTCTGAAAAAAAAAACAACAAACAAAAACAAAAAAAAACAGCATAGACCAGCATGCTTTTCTGTTTATTTTTTCATGTTGGTCTTGCTGGTGTTGACAGCTATTAACAGGGCAATAGCATAATACTGATCTTACTGGTGTCATTAGCAAGAACAGCAACAAAAGCAGCCAAGATTCAATCACGTGAACCTTTGGTCACTTGTCAGTCCCCTCTACCAACTCAACTGCAGCTACCCAGCAATACCCTGCTGGTAGCTGGTGACAGCAGCAAGACCCCAGCCGGTCACCAACTATCACCAGCTCCTAGCAGGGCCTCCTGGCAACATGCTGGCCCTGGTGCATCGCCGGCTGTGGCACACTTCATCGAACAGGTTGCTCACTGATCAAAGGTTTCTTGAATCTTTTTTTGAATCTTGGCTGTCATGTTTTGGTTCACTGCTGGCCAGCAAGACCAGGACGCAAACATAACAAGACCATCCTAGTCTATGGTGTTTTATTGTTGTTGTTGTTTTTTGCACTCTGAAAGTCTCCTTGAAAAAATAAAATCCCAACAATAGTCTACAGATCACTTGCCAGCCACCTGAGGTGGGCTTTTACTGGAAAATCTTCTCATAGTTCAGTACAAAAATGTCAAATCAAAACAGCAGCAAGTATGTGATGGGAGAAATAAAATCTGGTGAGATATAGTCATTCATGATATTGACATCTGGAGACACTGTCCATAGGAAAGGGGGTCTTGGGTCTCCCTGGAGCGCTACTTTCCTGAGTGCTTTGTATTTTCAGCGCGAGCCCCTAAACTAACTTTAACAATTGTTGCCCTAATTTCAGTCCAAACGTACGGTGTGTGTGTGTGTGTGTGTGTGTGTGTGTGTGTGTGTGTGTGTGTGTGTGTGTGTGTGTCAGTAAAGAAAATCAGTACAAACATATTTGAACAGTCTGAGAATTATGGACTTGAGTTAAAAGAGTGATCCTTCTGTATTGTAACATCTGGGTTTCAGTCTCTTTTCAAATGAAATGTACAGATTTGAAGTATGGAGGAGGGGCAACCGTCAAGCTCATGTCAAAAAAGTGTCCACTTTCTGACAGAACAGATTAAAGTTAATTGACCTTTCTATGCCACTGTAGATTTACATCAAGTTTCTTTTGACAGCGGTAGCATATGTTGGTTCTATCATCATAATAGAGCTGTCTGAATTATTGGATCCAGGTTGTACCTCTGCGTGTGCATTTGTGCTCTCCATCCATTTGCATCTGTTTAGGGAATATATCCTGCTTTCAGCTTGCTGGAAAAGAAAAAAATGAACAGGGCAAGTATTTATAAATGTCAAACATTGTAATAATATGCAATCATGGGGTTTTCGTTTAAAAAGAAAAAAAATCACCCAATTGAAGTAGTTCTTTCTCAAATGGCCTTTATTAGTCCACCGGAGAAATTGAAAGCACATGGTGGCATATAAATGTGAATTCTAGCTGACCACAGAGACACTTAGATTGATAGAGGGAGGAGGATTGCAAATAATTTTAGCCATTAAAACCTCAAGACAAATTAGGTTAGTTAATCTGTTATTTTGGTCTCAGCGATCACTTCTGGAAAGTCATGTGTTATGAAAGGTTCATCAGAAATTAATTGAGTTATGGTGGTGACGGAAGAGGGCAGGTTTTACCAAGACAGAGCTCTGTATTTTAGGAGGTTTGTTTTTGTTAATTTGTATGTACAGTACCAATCAGAAGTTTGGACATTCTTTCCCTTCCAAAGCATGAAAAAGTGTATTCAGCTACAATATGCACTTTTAAGTATGATCATTATGTATGTACAGGCTCTGAATTTATGTAGTTTACATACAATATAAATCAGAATTTTGATACTTCACAAGAGATTTTGTAATTTTAAAATTGTAAAATGAGCAGCATTGTCAAAACAAGATATATACTTTGGCTTTTCGACATAATATATAATGTTAATTACACTAGGTTACTTGAAACATACATACAAATTTCAACCTCTAAATATTTTTCTGAAGGTGTGGTTGATTAGAGTGCTCTGGATCAGGGCTTCTCAAATGCAAATGCTTAAGTGGCACAAATAATTGTCTCAACCTGTCAAAGGTCCATTTATCAAAGTTGGCCAGGCCACATCTAATGACACTGTGCTATTGAAAACAAAATGTCAAGCGTTAAGTAATTAAGGAATGTTAATAGCTAAGTCTTCAGTCTTTTGCTTCTTTGTGGTGTCGGTTCCATCCGCAACATATCCATTCAACAGGTAACATTTTCATCACGGTGTGAATACGTCAGGCAGTGCAGTGGACGTAGTTGAGGGGTGCTGTGTGTGAATCTCGGCTCATGGTATCGATGTGCCTCCAAGGATTATCCTCACACTTTCCAAAATATGCAACTTAAAAATTGTCCATAGGTTTGAATGATCATACAGGAAGCCCCCAATGTACAAACACAATGGGTTCCAAGAGGCTGTTCTAAATCTGAATTTTTCGAACACCTTAAAACTTCAACCTGTAAATGCCATTTGAGGTCATTTATATATATATATATATATATATATATATATATATATATAAACAAGGAGATATATTGACTTGGTTTATTTTTCGCCACACCAGCTGCAGATCGATATGTAACAGCTTGACAACCAGAATAGTCACGCACACATAAATTCACACACAAACCAAGCACCAATCAGTAAGAAATGTGCAGCAAATTATGGTTTTCCACTCTTACTGCATGTAAGTATGTTGTTAAGTAAAGTCGTATGGTAAAAGCATTGGGGTGGATCGACATTATTTTTCACATTTTTTTCTAACGTATACAGTCTCATTTATTTTAATGTCACATAAGGCATTATGGTCCGTCCCAGTATTTAGAGACAATACAAATATAAAGCTAAATATCATGCAGTTTACAGAAGAGCTGAGTCTTACAAATTAATTGAAAATACCCGCTCCAAGGAAGGGTTGGTCAAATTATTTTGTTTGCAATTTAATCTGTATGCAGGCAGCATATCATTCATTATTATAAAAGTCATTGAATTAATCTTTTTTAGCGATATGATGACCGAGTAAAACTTGATGACATTATGTCCTAAATACCTCAAGCAAATATACGTTCCTTTTTCTTCTTGCTTGAAAGCTTTTGTAAGTGAGTCACCAGTGCCATGTTTCATTAAAGTGCACCAGCGACACCGTCTGGACAGAGGGAAGGAAACCCGTACCTGCACACAACCTTATGTTGTCAGAGATCGAAATAATTAGTGCATGTACAAAAACATAACCATTTTCTCATTCCCACGTTTAGAAGACGTGAATATCATGTAAGCCAGTACGGGTCATAGATGTTCCCCTCACACAAACACTCGACACCTTTATGGTAACATCTTAATGGCAATGTTTGGTGAGTAAATCAGTGGCTCCGCTGGTTTGGTTATAATTGCTATGCTTTCACGCAAAAGCAAGTGTTGTGTTTTTCTGTTCAATATTTTGATTGTAAAAGGAAATTCATTATACTTTATGTTTTAACAAGGTTTAATTTGTGTCTTTTTCTGGTACCATTTGTGGTGTATTTCTTATCTCCTGAATGGTTGCTGTCACTTCGTACTGATGGCTGGCTGATGGCTCTCTGTTTATTCTTGTGTTGTACTCTTAATGTGCAGGCTGGAAAATCGACCTGATTTTTCGCAAACTCCAACCTTCCTTCCATACGCTTATCGGTCACCCCTTTAAAAGCATCGTCAGGCTCTGTCGTCCTGAAACCCTCTGGTCGGCTGTTCCAGAGGCGCGATCCAAAATAGATGAATGTAGCCTCTCCGTATGTTTTTCTTCTTGCTCTTGGAATAATTAAAGGACCTCAGGGCCCACTAGGATTGATATGATAAACGCATATCGGACAGATATGACCGCCTAAGACCATTAAGACATTTAAAACCTCAAACAAATCTTAAAATTAATTCTGAACCAAATATGGAAATGAAATACTCGTCAGGGGGTGACAAGTCTCGCAGGTGAGCTGAGGCTGTGTCTGATCTATTACACACTGCTGATCTTAAACATTAAAGTGGGGAAACAGCAACAAAAAAAAATATTTCGAAGGGGAAAACGTTTTCATACCGCCGTATTTCCGTATGCCTGTCTTATACTGCCCCCTGCTGGTCAAAGCGTGCCAAAAATGAGCAGCAGTTATTTGAAATTCTATTTAATTATGTCGTAATTGTATGCTTGTTGAAAGTACTGTTTGACATTATACAGTATTGATTTTCCTCATCAAAAACACATTACAAACATTGGCTTTATGTTTGTTTCGGGTGAAATAGATTGCCATTTTTATTCATTTCAATGGGTAAAGTAGATTACAGTAGATTTTTTTTAATGTTGTGACTTATAAGCGTCTTCATGTCATAAATTAACTCATACCTAAGGGCACGACCGTACTATCCCTGTACAACCTCACAGAACCGTCTATCACAGGGGTGCCCACACGTTTTCAGCGTGCAAGTGAGATATAAAATGACCAATTCCAAATGATCTATCTACTATATTTATTTAAAAATATGATAATTATAATTATTTATAGGTACAATCTAATTTGGTGTAGCTTACATAACTGCATGAATCAATACTGCACAAATACAACTTTTGTACTTTCTCTGACCTTTCTTCTGTCTGTATTTTGTGTATGGATTATCTGAAATTTAATGGGGCACAAAATAAACAACAAAACAACAACAAAAAATAAAATTATGGAATGACCCACATACACTCACAGAATTTAACCCAATGGAATGACGCATTCTTTAAATGACTTCCTCAGGGTAAAAAAGGAAACATGTCAACCACCACCCACCAGCTCAAGTCCTTTAATTCCTTTTTGCAGTGTCAGTGGCACTGACCCTCCCCAAACCAATCCAAACCAAGAGGAGCTCATACTCACGTTCGGTGTTTCCAGTTGGTCAATGTTTCAAACACAGATCTATCTGATTTGTGTAGTTGGAAGGAATCCTTCAGCAGCTCTGCATTTTTTTTTTTTTTTTTGCTTTTGCATCAATTATACTATGCTAAATGGAGGTATAATGCTCCCTCAGGTACATCAGCCTGGTGTCATGTCTAATTGCAATTTTCATGGTTACCGCACTATCTCACAGCATCTAAATGACCTGAAAAAGGAGAACTTCAGCCTGAAGCTTCGGATCTACTTCCTGGAGGAGAAGATAGAGCAGACGTTTGAGCAGAGCAGCGATGACATGCACAAGAAGGTGAGTTTATTTGTGTGAATACGTTCTCCAAACATCTTGACTTGCACCCCTCTCTGAGCATTGCTGTTTTCAGCAAAGCAGGCTTGTACTTGACATTAACTCGTGTGGAAAGCAGGTCTGCAACCGTTCTTGCATTCTTCCGGTTGCATGTTTCTTCTTTCTCAAATGTGTACGTTTGTCCATATAAAGTTATGACAATGCTAGGTGTGAAGACATGCTTTAAAATAAACAGCCACTAATTAGCTTGTTTTTCAAAATACACATTTGACCAGTGGCGGACCCTCAGTGCCAGCAAGGCCTTCTCTGCTGGCCTAAACATTCTCAGAAAAGTAAATTTACTTTTCTGAGAATAACATAAATTTGTTATTTTATTTTCATAAATATGTTAACAAAATTATTCTCTGTTTCTGTCTGATTTGTGTAGTTTGGAAGGAACCTTTAGCAGCTCTGCTTTTTTTTTTTTTTTTTTTGCTTTTGCATCAATTATACTATGCTAAATGGAGGTATAATGCTCCCTCAGGTACATCAGCCTGGTGTCATGTCTAATTGCAATTTTCATGGTTACCGCACTATCTCACAGCATCTAAATGACCTGAAAAAGGAGAACTTCAGCCTGAAGCTTCGGATCTACTTCCTGGAGGAGAAGATAGAGCAGACGTTTGAGCAGAGCAGCGATGACATGCACAAGAAGGTGAGTTTATTTGTGTGAATACGTTCTCCAAACATCTTGACTTGCACCCCTCTCTGAGCATTGCTGTTTTCAGCAAAGCAGGCTTGTACTTGACATTAACTCGTGTGGAAAGCAGGTCTGCAACCGTTCTTGCATTCTTCCGGTTGCATGTTTCTTCTTTCTCAAATGTGTACGTTTGTCCATATAAAGTTATGACAATGCTAGGTGTGAAGACATGCTTTAAAATAAACAGCCACTAATTAGCTTGTTTTTCAAAATACACATTTGACCAGTGGCGGACCCTCAGTGCCAGCAAGGCCTTCTCTGCTGGCCTAAACATTCTCAGAAAAGTAAATTTACTTTTCTGAGAATAACATAAATTTGTTATTTTATTTTCATAAATATGTTAACAAAATTATTCTCTGTATTCTTTACGTCATATTATTTCCACTTAGTCGAGTGGCTTTCAATGTTATTCAAAATAACATTGAAAGCCGAATAACTTATTTATTATGGTAGAGTTTTTAACCAATCATATTTCAGCTAGCTTGTGTTGCCAGGTAAATTAAACTTGCTCGGGGCCTTCAGATTAAACAGAGCAGGCCCCTTTGCGCTGTAAATGAACGGGCACAGTCAGGTTTCAATAGCCAATCAGATCACGAGTCAGACTCTCGTGATCTGACTCGTCTGCGTACTAGGGCCAGCTAGAAGGCCTTACGTCGAGACTGGCCGTGCGCGTTCGGTGATTGGATTAGCGCATTTTCTGTTTCCTGAGAATTGTATCCTGACTTGTTCAATAAAGATTAAAAAAAAA